AAAATGCAAAATACGCTGGATACTCACAGAGAAAAAAATATCAAATATTAGATTTTGGTTACTAACTGCTAAAAAAACTGTTCAAATGTTGCTGCATTTATGGAAATGTATGCCAACAAAAACAAAATGGTCAAATAAATAAAGGAAAAATAAAATAAATGTGAAAGCAACTGTAAGCATGAGGTTGTTCAAATCTCTAGAAACAACTGACGGCTTGGGAAAGAAAATTCTATGGACAAATTCATTTTCCCCCAGCCCTTAACTTCATGTGGTCGATGAATGGCATTCCTTCACAGTTTTATCAATAGAATGTAATTCTGGCCAAATCAGTCTGTCAACAAGGAACAACATCAAATCATTTTGTCAGTATAAATAAATCGCTTGAGGTTTATTATTTCTTTTCTTTGTTTGTGGATGAAATAGGGCTATTAAAATGTCTTCTGTAGCCCAATATAAGAATGGGGGAAGTTGTTTCACTGTAGACAACGCACACAGTGCAGGCAAAATTGCCATCATACAAAGAACTACGAGTTGCAAAAGATGCTATAAAGAGAATGCAAAAGAACCTTTGATTATCAAATGCCTGATTTTTAAATGGATCTGTGGTGATAGCGATGTTTTGAGGTTCAGGTGTGGAGCTCTTTGGTACAAGCACCGTAAACACATAAAATCATAATGATCGTTGCATTGAAGGGCCTGAGAGGCAGTTGGGAATGTCCAATTCAGTGGACATTCTTAGTCAGATGGTGTCTACTTTTCTTAGAAATGTTTCCAACTTCTCATCCCAGATGTTTCCAGTTTTCTTATGAAAATTTGAAAGTGTTGATGTGTGTGAGTGAGGGGGTTGATCAACCATCTTTTCTGACAGTTACTTCCTCAAGCTCATCATTACAGGAGGACATGCCTTTATCCCACTTCAGTCCTTTCTCCCACCCACAGGCTGCTAATTCCTGCCCCTTTCCATCTACTTCTCAACCACCTGTGGCTTCATCAAGGGAGCCATAGAGGTCAGAGCACCTCTGTCAATACTGGCCATCACCTTAGCAGTATGAGCTCTGCGCCATGAAACAAAAAAATATTGTAGAAGACTAAAGCTTAGGATTTTTCCAACTGATGTCGTTTCAAGCCAGAACCTCCCATATTTCGGTTGATCCAGGTTTATGTCCTTTCATTCACCCATAGCAACATCTTTGTCACGATCTGGCATGCCAAAAGAAGAGACAGGGGAGTCTAGCTGTCTTTAGTTCCTTGTAGGTCCCCAAAATTGGGTGGGACAGCATGGTACAAACTGTGTCTTATATAAACAAGAACAGGAAAATTGGGAACTGTTTTGCTAAACAATAAACTATGTGCCGTCACAAAAAAATCCAAATCAACCACTAGATTCATAAGGACAATGACTTTCACTTCAACAGACAATTCAGGACAAGAACACACTAGGATTCTGGATATACCACAGCAGAAAAAGAAATAGACCCAGCTGTTGGTAAACAAAGGTGTGCTTGGGTCTTTGGATGATCCTTACCCTCATACCAGGTGATCTCAGGCTCTAGAAATCTTTACAAATAAATCTAGCTTTTTGTGGGGCTCTAGAATTTCAAACAATACAATTGCAGGAGTGATGAGCACAGCAGGACATAGCTTTCACATGGAACTGCATCATGCGTTGATAGAATAGGGCTTAATAAGTTTAAATGAATATGTGAAGAAAGATTAATATTTGAGTTCATGTTCTCATGAACAGGGTGCATGTAAACTAGTCAGTATATTTAAAACTGCCCATCTCAGGAGACAAGTGCCTAATTCTGGGTTGCTAGAATGATTGTCACCTTCTATTTGGCATTCATAGCCTCAAATACTCTTTTAAGTCTAGTTGAGTTGGTAACTGTAAGTTTACTGCCACTTCGGTAGCTGGATCACAGTTTAGCTTATCTCTGTGTTTATAGTGATTTAAATTCAGACCTCCTCAGTTGTGGATGACTGAACTAACTTCAAGACAATACATTGTTTCATGCATGGAAATGTTTTATTTGTGCCAAGAATTTTTCAGAGGTGTTCATGAACGAGCTGAGAAAGTCTAATGATCTGAGAAAGCTTCAGGCCAGTCTTTTTATTTTATCTAGGCTGGCAAAGAAGACATATTAATGAAATTCCCTGGATAAACAGTAGTCCCACTACCCTTTCTGGTACCTCCTTATCTCCTTCAATATTTTAAAAAATCTGTACAAAATGAAACGATTTCTATAAGAGGGCTTGTGCTCAAGATTGTTCAGAGTGCCCAAAGCCATGTAGTTGGGCGATAATCCTAGACGAGAAGCGTAGAATAGGTTCTTAGCTTATAGGCCTAGGCGTTGTATGACAGTAAATTTGGACCTAGGTGACTTAAGTGATACCTGGGCAAAGACTAACCAGAAACCTCTTTCATTAATCTAACTCTGCATCAAGCAGCTGACCATTGAGCGCTGGAGGCTCTTAGCCTGAACCAGCTGTCCCTTAGACAAGAGCAAATATATCAGCTGCCTGCAACCAGGTTGCTGCTCTGGAAGGGAGCCAGAGTGGGATGGGGGGAAGAGCAAATGATCCAGGCACTAAGTCAGGCAGGGCGCCTTTCACTCTGGATAGATTGGAAAGCTGTGTTCCCAGGGCAGAGGCCCTGGGGAAGGATAATGCTTCCCTGTGCCCCAGTCTTCCTGTCTCTACTTTTCTCAGTTATATTTCTTCCCCTCGTTTTCCACACTCCCCCATGCTTATTGGCAGGTCTAGTCCATGCGAAAACAAACTGTAAATGCCTTAGAGTTTGTTCATTTTTGTTGTTGTTGTTTTGTTTTGTTGTTCCTTTTCTTCCTCAAGTCCCCAAAGAAACATCAAAGTACAAAGGAAAGAAAGCAATACCAAGAATAAGAGTGAAAGCCAAACAAAAAGACGGAGGAAAAAAAAAAAGAAGAATAAAAGAAGCTAGCAACGGCCCTGGGGAACTTTCTTCAAGGGGGTTAGGCTTCCTTCAGAGAAAGTTTAGATATATGTTTGTTTGTTTGCATTTTCAAATTGGGCTGTTTGTGCACATTCAGAGGAGAAGAACAAAAGCAATGCAAATTTCAGGGAAGGTGTTTAGTGCAGCAGGCTGCCGGCAGGGCCACCTGGCTACTGCAAGCAGCCCATTGCCCGCTGTGCTCACCTGCTTAAATATTAACAATGAGGGGGGAGGCAGAAAGGTATCAATTAAACATCAGGAGTGTCTGAGCAGAGAGATGGATTGTTTTCAGGACACAATGCAGGCAGTCATATACCCTGACTTCTGTTCCTGGCTACTTAACCCTCTGAATATTAACCCATGTTAACATGTCTTCTCTCCCTCCCCACTCTTCCCTATGAGGGCATGCTTGCGACATATAAAGGGAACAACATTCATTTCCCAAAAGTGACGAACAGAGGTTTAATATTTGCCCAGAAGCGGACTCGAGCTGACTGCAGCTCCACACCAGAATCTGGCACATTTCTTCTACAGAGTCTCCACCTGAGCTGCCAGGTGTTTTGCACAAAGTAGAAGAAAAACACACAAAATAAGTCGTAGTGAGTGCAAATTAAGCAACCTGATAGTTGCCAAGGATCCTGCCTTTTCTGTGTGACAAAGGAACTCCATGCCAAAGCCAGGAAGAAACCTCTGGTCAGTATAAACTGGAAGACTTTACCTAACTATTCTTAACACTCTTGATAACATACTTGATCAGAGTCAAGATCTACCTGCGCCAAATTCTGAGTGCGGCCAGTAATGGGTGCCTCGCGGTAAGGGATAAAAAGACTAGCATAGATATGGATATGGACATGGATATGGATATGGATATGTTTGTTTCTTCTGTACAAACTCCGGAATGTAAATCTTCAGTAACTCTTAATTAAGCTATTTTCCATGAGCTTGTTTTTCCTTGAATGCATGTGAACTTCTGACTTCCATGATACCCTGCAACAAGGAGATCCTCCAATTGATTATTCTAATTACACAGCTTAGTTTAGCTGTTATGTATTAGATAGCACATAGATAAACCTGTGATCAGCTAACACAAGCACTTCAGGTAGTTATACTCTTCCACCATATTCATATTGCCACATACACCAGGTTTGGAAATTGTGCTTATTAGAGGTTACTTCAAATTGTGGCACATTTGTTGAATGGGCTTTAAAAGAGGATATCCTGGAAAGTCTAAAGCAAGGGAAGTTCATACATGGTGATCTGGGTGGGTGGTAGCTTGCAGTCATGCACAGTGCCAGTCAAGCAGTGGGAAACATGCTTTCATGTACACAGATTCACTGGTAAGCTTGGCAGTCATTATGGCAGATGGTCTGGTGGTCTTAATTTCCAAAAATCCTTTCAGTTCTTAATAGTACCATAATTTCATACCAGCCTCATTTTGGTTTGAATTTCAAGAGATTTAAACTAGAACATTTTTACCTCTTCAGCTGGTCCATTTAAAATAGTTGCTGATAGTTCAAATCTGCAGATAATTTACTCTCCCAGTATTTCTAAGAACTAATTACCTGTGTGTATAAAATGATGAAATCTCATTATATTTTCTTTAAAAAACCCACCATGCATTTCATTACATTATCCAATTACTGCTGTGCTTGTACAGTATTATGTTACTGCCCGATCACAGGCTATTTACTATACAGATGTGTTACTTTAATTAAACAAATGCAACTAGTCATACAGAGCAATGTTTTTTCAGAACAAAATTTTCAAGCACTGGCCACTGATCCTGACTTCAGTTTAACCAGTGAAGGGTGAATTCAAGTCTTAGTTTTGCGGAAAGATTTGTCTTTCAGTTTCCATAAACCTTTTAGCAGCAGTGATTGCTTGCAGTTTCTTCAAATCAAAGCCAACAGTCTAAAGCTGGATAAAAGATTTTTGCCCTCAGATAAAACATAGAATAATGTATTTAAAATTATTATTATTATTATTATTATTATTATTATTATTATTATTATTATTATTCTACTTGCAGTGGTGAAATCAGATGAAGTAAAGATGAATGAAAACATTAAGAAGAGCCATCTGAACAGAGAAGATGAAAAACAATTGGAAAGGAGAAAGGGAACAAAGGATGACAACATTTGACGATCAAGGACCCTCACTAAGTTAGTTACACAGGAGGTGGATCTCAGCTCTCTAGAGGCCCAGAATAATGTTGTACCCTCTTGACCAAGTCAAAAACTTAGCATAATCACATAAGACCGGCTCATCAACTGGGAAAAAAACACTGTTGAATTCCAAGAGGATTCTCTGTTTTAAAACAATTGAGAAATTGGACAATAATTTGTACCTGCAAAGAAAAAAAGACATTTTAAAAGGGATTGATTAAACAGTGCCACTTTTTCTTCCCTTGCATGCAGGTATCTTGGTCTTGCAGCTAGTCTTCTGCTGAAGGGGAAATCAATGACTCCATATAAGGGTTTAGCTCATATAATGTATTGATATTTTATATGTCAGTTTTTTAACAGAACTGATCAAATCAGAATTTGGACAATTCCAATTTCAGAAACTTCAACCCACTTCACTGTATGCAATTCTGTGTTAAGTTAGAAAAGCTATGATGGAAAAAACCCTTCCTGAGCTGTTTGCCACAGCTCCCCACAAAGGAACTGCAGCAAAGATCTAAGGATGATGCAGCATTTCTAAAAAGAGAAACTTGCCACTACTCCAGTGGTGTTGGCAACTCCTGAGGTTGTGTGTGAGTGCCATCTGCTGACCCCTGTCATGGGAAAACAAAGCAAAACCCACTGATCTCACTGTTCCTCTAGGTCTGCAAATGTTCCCCACCATATTGAGAGCAAACCTGTTAACCTTCCCCATAATGCAATACATTCTCTAAGGCAGCTGTTTTCTCCAGCTATTCCCACTTATTGTCTACCCCTAAGAGCTCATAATTGTACAGTTGTGCAACCACTCTATGTTTTTTAATCTAAAGGCCTATTCCAGCACCCAAATTATTATTATTATTATTATTATTATTATTATTATTATTATTATTATTCTACTTGCAGTGGTGAAATCAGATGAAGTAAAGATGAATGAAAACATTAAGAAGAGCCATCTGAACAGAGAAGATGAAAAACAATTGGAAAGGAGAAAGGGAACAAAGGATGACAACATTTGACGATCAAGGACCCTCACTAAGTTAGTTACACAGGAGGTGGATCTCAGCTCTCTAGAGGCCCAGAATAATGTTGTACCCTCTTGACCAAGTCAAAAACTTAGCATAATCACATAAGACCGGCTCATCAACTGGGAAAAAAACACTGTTGAATTCCAAGAGGATTCTCTGTTTTAAAACAATTGAGAAATTGGACAATAATTTGTACCTGCAAAGAAAAAAAGACATTTTAAAAGGGATTGATTAAACAGTGCCACTTTTTCTTCCCTTGCATGCAGGTATCTTGGTCTTGCAGCTAGTCTTCTGCTGAAGGGGAAATCAATGACTCCATATAAGGGTTTAGCTCATATAATGTATTGATATTTTATATGTCAGTTTTTTAACAGAACTGATCAAATCAGAATTTGGACAATTCCAATTTCAGAAACTTCAACCCACTTCACTGTATGCAATTCTGTGTTAAGTTAGAAAAGCTATGATGGAAAAAACCCTTCCTGAGCTGTTTGCCACAGCTCCCCACAAAGGAACTGCAGCAAAGATCTAAGGATGATGCAGCATTTCTAAAAAGAGAAACTTGCCACTACTCCAGTGGTGTTGGCAACTCCTGAGGTTGTGTGTGAGTGCCATCTGCTGACCCCTGTCATGGGAAAACAAAGCAAAACCCACTGATCTCACTGTTCCTCTAGGTCTGCAAATGTTCCCCACCATATTGAGAGCAAACCTGTTAACCTTCCCCATAATGCAATACATTCTCTAAGGCAGCTGTTTTCTCCAGCTATTCCCACTTATTGTCTACCCCTAAGAGCTCATAATTGTACAGTTGTGCAACCACTCTATGTTTTTTAATCTAAAGGCCTATTCCAGCACCCAACCCTTACTGTCTTGACATGAGCCCGAAGATTTCCTTAGCTCCCATGAATGCAACGACTGCTAGAGATTCCTGCAGTAGGGCATACCTAGTACTTCCTCTCCTGTTTATGTCATATGGAAAACATTTAGCACAGTGGGACACCAAAATCTATGCACGTGTTAAATTTGGCTTACATAGTATATGAATGATATTACAGTAATAAATGCATCAATCAAATCAGTTCTGGGATTGAACTAGCTGCTCCCTATACCCAGCTTTGCCACAAGTTAGTTGTGTGACATTGGGCTTGTCACTGAATCATCCAGTGACTCAGGTCTCTATCTGTAAAAGGAGGATAAGAATATTTCATCTATTTACCTGATCTGGGTGGACTGTGAACTTGTTAAGGCAGGCAGGCAGGAACTATTTCTTTTTATGAATTTCTTAGAGAATCAGCCACAGCATGTTCCCTCCGGCATTGTGAGGACTGCACAGCTCCAGTACATACAAAAATATGGTAACATTAATTTAAAACTCTTTTGAGTATTCACATAATGCTGGTTTTGGATTTTCTCTCTTTTTTGGAAGTCTTCTTCACAGGGGAAATTTCACTCAGAAAGAACAATAGAGACTAAATTAAACTGCAAGACCATTGGGAGAGATTCAGCCACTTCAAGTACCTGTATTGATATCTATATGCATGATCTAGCTACAGTGGTAAATCAGGAAAACCAGAAAAAATGTCCTAATTTACAGAAGCGGCAGCATCCCACCTTGCTCACAGTCTTAATTTGTCAGAGAAAATATTCCTTGTTCAGATTACCTTAATTTTTGGATCATCCAGCGCCCTTCCCCAGAAAGTTTAGGGTGCGAACCAGAACAGGAATTTGCTAGCTTTGTTCCTTGGAGAGGAGTTAAAGGCCAGAGAACCGAAAGCACATGTCCAAGACCACAAACACAGTCATGCTGCCAAGAATGGGAATTGAACCCAGACCTCCCCTGGATTACACTGCATAGAGACACGTGCACTCTGAGCCAGCAGTAGTTACATCTGTCGGTCCTCTAATACCATGTGATTGTGTTTGCACAGAGCTGAGCGCAGGTGAACAGGCTGTGTGCCTCTTGGCTGGGCTCGAAGGCTCGGGCACACTGACACATGACGTCTATTTATACAGGTTTTAGCCAGCCCGGAATATAGGCAGCAAGAGCACTTTCTGCAGCCCTCAGCATACAGCATCAGTGCATCCCAACTCTTAAACCTTGGCCACAAGAACAGCTTTTGAGAAATTGCTTCTTTAAAACAGAAGAGAAAGTAGAATAATACATTTCTTCCTAAAAGCCATAGAACAAAGTGAGAAAGAAAGAAAAATCTGAACCCTCCCTCTCCCACCACCTGCAAAGAGCAACAAATTCCCACCTCTGTAGGCACCACATTTCCAGCCTTTAAATAAATAACAACAGCAAGGCCAACCTTTCTATCTCCCCTATGTAAGAGGAGAAACATTCTGGCTTTGCCACATGTCCTGTAATCATGGGTCGAACCCCTGTTCACAGGGGTATCGATCTGCTGCTAGCTGAGTCTAACTCATTAGGTATTCCTTCATTGTTTCCTATGCAAATTAAGTTAATGAGAATTAGGAACATAATGGAGCCCATTCACCGTTCTAGTTGGTGGAAAATGGGTTTGACTACCAATTTTCCATTACAGCTGTTTTGTAATTACTCTGGAGCACTCTGCATTCTAATGGAGATCCTGAGCTGATCTGACAGTCAGCTTAGCTTTTTTTTCTCCCCCCCGTCCCCCCCCCCTCCCACCTCCTCTCTCCCCCCTTCTCCTTCTTTA